CAGAATTGTGATGTACAAATATTTGTGCTCCACACACTAATTGAGATGCTTCGGTCCCTTTCAAATGTTGCATTAAAGCTGCAGCCAACACACAAGATGAATGCTGTGAAAAGTAACCCGGCTCTTGACAGGGGCTCAGTGCCCAGTGTCTTTTCTGTGGCCGAGCCGTGACGCACTGCGTCTATGAGACGCATGAGAACACATACAGTTCTGAGCTTGCTTGTACAGACACTAAACTATTGAAGTAATTCTCCCCAGCTGAAAGCCAGCGTCTAGATGTGCTGGAAGTTTGCCATCAAATTCTTTCAGTCTCAAACACAGACCATGCAGACTTGAGTGGTACAGATTCAGCTTTGCGTGTTAACAATACGACGTCTTCTGTACCTCTGCGCTTTTGGCTTTTAGCGCGAATTCCCATGACCGTACCACGTACCTTTCGAACGGGAGGTGAATGAAAAACACGTACCTTTCTGGCAATATTCCTCCGCCCAACAAAGATCGCTCAGTACTGCAGCTAGTTGCGGAATGCGGCATCTCTCTGGGCAGTAGTCCACACACTCTTCCTCATCACGATTATCCACGATGAAATTGTTTCTGTATCCTGATTCGGCGATGAACGACCAATCAATGGTATTCAGGTAGCAGAGGTTGGGATTCTTCTCGATTCGAACCGAACCACGTGTGATGTTTTGCAGCCTGTACAAGCCGATCTTCTGCATATCCAACATCTCGAAAACCACCAGCGCGTAATTGAAGAAGAGGTTGGTCCCGCGGATGACGGCAAGGTTCGGGAAGAGTTCCGAGAGGTTCGTCAGGCCCCTGACTCGGTAGAGAAGGAAGTAGTCCGTGATTTCTACCAGTTTGGGGAACGAGAGTCCTCGGTAGTCTTGCTCTTCCGCAAAGTCGATTAGCAGGATCTGTAGGTAGCCTTCGATGACAGTGCAGTTATCCAGCCTTCGCAGGTTGGACACTCGGTTCCTGATGTCCATACTCTCACAAACTGTGGGTTAAAAACGTATGACTTAAGTGTATAGGACAACGCAAAAACCATCACAACAGTTCAAACGGCTAAAATCTCACTATGTATTTATGTAACACTCGCTGTACGAAACAAACTGTTGCTAAACTGTATATCCTGCATCGAGCAACTACGGTACATACATTGTTTTGTAATATTCATTAGTACTTCTCTATTTCACCAAGCTTTACATTCCTTGGACTCACTGAAGAATGATATCCTTCAGACAAAGCTTCTGCTTACTTTAACATTATTTCCTGCCTTTTATGTTGGAAAAAAGGGTAGGAGAGCAGGTCGACAGGTGTAACAAAGGCCAGCCTGTGTACATAATGGTCCTCATCTTTAGTACACCCTTTCGTGTGGCTGTACAGAGATAACGAACTCTGCACGAAGATGCAAAAGGACGTGGGCAGTTACATTAGCGCCACACGCAACATCAAGATGGATTCAGTACGACAGTGCCCGTTGATTGGACTAACCGGGCATCGTTATGCGCAGCATTGGCCGACGGCCTTCACATCATTTCGTAAGCGATGTTTACTACCTACACGCAGGGTGGTGTAGGGAGGCTGATGGCATAGTTTGTCTCCAAACACAGGATTCGGGCAGTTACTACGTTGTTATTCCACCCGATTTAACCCCGGAAAATAAATTATGACAAGAGCGGGAAGCCAGAAAAAAATTTTTGTCACAAAACGATGGACCGATGTTGTGAGTGATAGAAGTCAGTGAGTCATACAGTGACTGAGGAGTTAAGTGTAGTTGGAGAAAAACAAGGAAATTATGACAGGGTCTAGGTTTAAATCATGAAATTCATGATTCAAGGCTGGAGAAGAGCACACGGACGGTTTCCTCCCCTGACCTTGTTTAGGCGATCAAGCCGAAGGGGGGAACACAACTCGGATATTTGCATCATGAAAAAAAAAAAATTGACAGCAAATCATACAAATCTACTAACAAAAACACCATCAAGACAGGCGTCGATTTCATAAACAAATTAGGGCGGGTCTCGAGATTTTGCATTTTATCTCTTTATAAGATCGTTCATACGAAAGCGACAGGGGTTGTTTTGAAAGATTTCCTTTGGATATCGAGGCGGATGTTAAGTTGTTTTCTTCTCTTTCGTCCCCTCCTGCGGGACTTTACCCTTGCCGGGAAAAACGAGACAATATGGTAAACAACATCTCAGTCGGTCTGGTTACTACGTGGTCTTTCTCACACAAGACCTTCTCTCGGTGTTTTTATCTCAACGTGCGGGTGCGACCCGGCGGCTTGTGATGGACAGTGCCAAGCTGAGGCCACCCAGACTGTGTTACAGCCGACAGGGGGTCGGATCACACCAGGGAAGGGGGCGAGCGTGCACGTTTGGGCCAGAAAAACAACCGCGACAACACCCTTCTCAAGATCGATACGCCGCTCCTACCCTAGTCTTTCTGACTTCTAGTAGTTCCTACAATGACGTTAAGGGCGGTTAGTGGGCTTGGTCGGAGTCGAGAATATCATACTTACTGTATTCTTCCCCGTTAGTGGGTACAAGGAAGCCGAGACCGATGACCAGCGTGAGTGCTGCCCACATGAGTCCGGCCATTTTGTCCACCACCCGCATTTTTGCAGTTCCAAAGTCCGCGGGTCTGCTATCTCCCCGCAAATCCTTTTCACAACACCCAATTAAGTCGGAAAAGTCCTCAAGATGGCTGAAAATCGACTATCATTCAATAAAGACTTGGTTGGAGACGTGTGAACAGGACTTTCGGCGCTGGATGACGAACGTCCATGAGGAAGTGGTCAACAACACCGACGTGCCCATCACTCACGCTCACGCACTCTCCTGGCCTCTCGATTCTTCCTCCGCCGATCGCGATCTCACGGCACCTCCCTTCCCGCTACAACTTCCAAAAACCTTCACCGCTTCTTCCACGAGTCAGCCTCTGTGAAATCGCGGCTTCTTGGCGGAGTTTTCTCAAGTCTACTGGTGTCTCTGTGCACTGCGTGAAAGCTCGGACTTCGGTCGGACAGCCATAAAGCCTTGGAGCCTGAAGGGAAAAACAAGTCACTCGAGCTGACTGCGTAAACAAGTCTGTCCGCGCCACGCCATTGGCCCGCCGCCGCCCCGCCAAAATACGTGTCAGTCATGTGATAGCACCGCTCACCGGCGTATCCTAGCGATTTTAAACAGTACTGCCGCGGGGGAGCTCCTGGCCTGCGACAACGGTACCAGTTTTACCTGCAGCGTCACCACGCAGACGGTGCTGTAATGCAAGGTTCAGCGTACGCTGGGTCGGTGCCCCCTGGGACAACGTTGCAAACTTACGTGATCTGACGTGTCCGACATGGCATGAATGATTCCTTTTGGGGAGGGAGTGGACTGTGTGCTATGTTAAGATCATCTTCACTCTCATCGGGACGTTCATTGTACTGTAATAATAATTGTTGATTACGTGGTTATGTCACCCGATTTTTCAACTCTGAACTACAGATAGAGGACATGCGTGCGACGCCGTCTAGCGTTGTGGGTGCATATCTCACTTGAAAGTACGTAAATGAGTGAAGTTGCACATGATTGGCAAGGGGGTTCCAATGGCATTGTAAAACACACGGAGATAAGGAAGGATGCTCATGACCACCTGTTGCTGATAACGTTACTGGTTTGAAACTAGTAGCTATGAACTGGAAACTTTGTAAGTTGTAGGCCGGCCGGCAGCATGAGCGCACACTCCAGTTTATACCGCCTTTTCTCCCGGGTATCCGGTTCGCTGTTTCCCTTTTGCGGTTTGAAAGTGTTTCGATCAATCATTTGACAACTCGCGTGCTTTTGTTGCAATGCATGCGCGCCTTCCAGAAGATTGAGCCAGGATCAAGTTTCGATGCTCTGAGAAGTTGCCAACTTTGAACTGAGGGCATGTAGGGATGTTGCGCTCTAGTTATTCCAGGGAGGTTCAATCAGTTTATTCCGCGTTTGGAATCGTCACTTCTCCTTATGAAAGCAAAAGATGAGGCGATCGAAGTTCAAGGACAATCCGAGTGAAAAACATGTTGTTTACGTCTTTCAGCCGCTATGAAGTCAGATCTCTGGGAACCGGGGCGGATGAGTGTGGTCGAACGAACAACGCGAAAAAAACAGGAAGCGGTTTGGCTGGCAGGTATTTGCAAACAGCTCCGTCGTTTAGACACCGTTTCAAGTCTAACGTAAGATCACACCAATTTACGCAATAAGGAAGCACAATAATCCCAGGTTTTTGCATCCAATTTTAGCCTCTACCAAGGAGGTTTAAAATCTCCTTGCCTGTAGCAGGGAAGCGGTAGTAGGGAAACTACCGGAAACAGTAGAAATTGGCCAAATAGACAGATAACATGCCAGGGGAGTTTGTTCGTTCAAAAGTACGGTTTGCCAACCCCCTGGCATGTTATCTGTCTATTTGGCCAACTTCTACTGTTTCAAGTCACTTCGGAAGCCCGGTAGAGGCTAATTCAAACAACAGACAGCACATAACGTAAGAGGTGATGACTGAGCCATATCTAGCACTTTTAATCGCATTGCGCACGTTGAGTGACTTCCGCTAGAGGACGCTCGTACCCGGTGTCGTGTTGAGTGTCAGAAGGCAACAATACATGTAGCGCCTACAATACATGCCTTTTTATCTGAATTCAACACGCTTGTTCGACTTTGTTACACACGCTTGTTCGACTCAGGTGGAGCAGTTCACATCCAAACTTCAAAAACAAAATAAAATTTTGATGCCACTATTAACATGACTTAATGCACAGTTTTACAAAATCTCTGTCTCAATTAACAGTGACCTTTCCTATACATGCATTGGAGATGAATTCATTTGTTGCATTGTTCATATCTACATTGAAAAGGGTATGTTAGATATACAGCCATGGATGTGGCCCCATTTCCGTGTACGACTCCAGAGTTCACAACCTGGTAAAATAAATGAAGTGGCAGGCAATGGTCAAAAAACATCTACACAACACAATCAGTATTTTGGATCTGTATTGCACATCTGTATCTGTATAGCTGGTATGTCCACCCTTTCCTTAGGGTAACAGTTTTGCAGTCAAGCAATGCAGGAGCAGCTGGTTATACATGTATTACACTGCAACACATGCCATATACCTGGCCTTGGCACATCTAACAGCAAGTATCAGATGAGGATACGCCTACTGTTCTCAGTGGCAAGATCCCCTCCATTAAAAGTTTTAGAAAAAAAATTAGACCATACAGACAAAACATGGAAGAATTGGATGACCAATAAAGCCTGTACAAACATGCCATGGTCAGTGTTGTCACCATTTCGGTGAAAAATGATATCCTTTAACAACCTTCATCATCATGCAGTGCATGTATCTCTAACATATCCAAGACCATGATATCATCTTTGAATCATATCCATAATATCATCATGCTTATCAGCTGCATAGTTCTTCTGCCCCACCCCCAACCAGGCAGCTTCTAGAATTCTATTTACAGACACTTGTATGCATAGATTGCATCACATATAACATGAATAACTAAAAAGCTTACTTCATCTCAAAAGTTCAAACAAAACATCTGCAATAGGTTGTTCTGCAACATCCCTGCTGTATATATTATGATTGCTTGCAGCAATGGCAGTGTGGCCACAACTTTGTTTCTAACTAGGTGGAGTTAAGTCTTTGATGATTCTGTACAAGCCAGAGCCTCGTGCATACACAGTAGCTGAGAACGAATCCTTATACAAGCCCAGATTATGGCTGTCCCAGGTATCTATCACACTGTACAGTTGCCCTGAGGGAAGGCTGAGGTCTGTAAAGTTGACAGCCACGGTTAGGGAGTGGTCCACTGCGAGGTTGAAGAAGGCCACATAGTGTTCTACAAGAGTGACAGGCTTCGTGCTGACCGCGTGCCACACCACTGTGTCACCAGATTGGTACACTGGGCGGTTTCCTGAAAAAGTTGGAAAGGTACATTACGCATTGTCTTTATCAGGAGCTTATATGCGATTATATGTTATTTATTTTCTGTCTGAAAATAAATACATAAATTATATGAGCAATATATATGAAATATGTAAATTTTCCGAATTTCTCACTGATTATGTATATAGGAAATGCAAGCTCCGTTAGCCTGACTGAACCTCGCTTTTTGCCGGCTCCCTAGTTAGTCCACCACCCAATCTTGGGGTTGGCAGCTCCTTGAGCGCCGGACAAAGAGCTTGGGTTTCACAGGTTCACATCTGTATACTGAGGTAAGAAATTGTACTCACCCATGCTAAACTCATGCAGCCTGAGCAGCTCCTTGTGAGTCAGCAGGCCTAGAGTCATGTCGTCTGTGGGAAGTTTCCCTCCAAACATGAGGGGTGACCTGGCCATGCACCACAGGGTCATAGCTGTCTTCTGTTCCACCATGGTCAGACGTGTGGAGCGTGGGGGGCTGTGGGCTCCAGTCAAGTGTCCTGTAGGACATGCATGTATGAGGGCAGAAATACTGAGTGCACATGCATTTTGGTGCACCTAATTTTTGGCTGTGGGTGCACCTGAGCACCTACATGTGTTACTTGCAAAAAGGTTTGTTGTGGAGCATTGCAGTCATTGAGACTAAACTGTGATCATTTGACACATTTTAAAACATTGCAACCCAAATATCATTGAAATATTGAAAAATGTTGCATGCTATGTTACAGCAACATAATATCAAAACAGATAAGTTGGATATCATCATATGATACATACACTACATGTTGGGTGAAGACTGAGGTGAATAAAACTCACCTAAATGTCCGAGTGGTAAGAGGTCCAAGTCAGGGTACGTATCACCTACACCTATCAGCTTAGCATGTGCAGCAGCTGCCGGGAACTGTTTGGCGATTCCATCTGCACCTGTCCAGCTGTCCCACGTATCAGCTGCAGGAAAATTAGTTCAGGTATTAACAAGATATTCCATAAATATGGGTTAAAAATTGCTAACTAAGGGTAACTTTTGACATAGGCTAAGCCAAAACCCCAACAGTAGGCAATAATCCCACAACTCCCTCACCTGTTATTCTGTACATGTCAGCATACCCGTTATCCACCAACCACTGAGCAATGGTCACGTTAGCCTCGTTCCCCGGAGAGTACGACAGTGTCATCGTTCTTGTCGTCTGGGAGACGGCCTGAGAGAACAGCGCCACCTCGTCCTTGTGAATCTCTCCTCCGTAGAAGCAGTCGGCTTTGACAAAGTCCACGCCCCAGGAGGAGAACATATCTGTTACAGACCTGTAGTAGTACATGGCTGCAGGGTGGGATGTGTTGATGCCATAGTTCATGTTGTCCCAGGAACACTGCGTGCTGGGCAGGGCGATCTGGTCTGCTGTGTACTGTGTGCCGTAGATCCTCAGCTTGTCCTTCACTGCCTGCAAAGGAATCCCACGGAGGAACCAGACACCGAACTTCAAACCTGTAAGAAAATAACTGTTGAGCTTTAACCTCTATGTTTGTTTGTTTGTTTATTCGATCTCCATTAGATTTACATGAAATCTATTCTTCCTGGAGTCGCAAAATTACAATGAAACTAGAAAGGCCAATATTTGCTTTGGAGCAAATACAGCGATGGGTTCACCACTTTTTACGACATGGCAGGGAAAGAATGAGAAACACAAGGGAAAACAATGATTTACATTGATATAACTATAATATGAAGTAACATACAACTAAAACAACAGTTGGATAGCTATTCCCTACTTTATTGGTTAGGATTTTTAATTGCATAATGCAAACTGTTGATTTTCAAAATAAATAAAAAAACGTTCATGCCCCGCATTCCAATGCTGGAGCAGAAAAGCTTGAAATACCTACCAAAACACTTGAATAAAGACATACTGTCAGTATGGAAATGCTCTGTGCACGTGTTAATCAAGTTAAATCCCAACAGCCAATCAGCAAGAAATGCTCTGTGCTGGTGGAAATGCTCTGTGCAGGTGTTAATCAAGTTAAATCCCAACAGCCAATCAGCAAGAAGTATAGAGGAAAGCTGCATGCCTATTGGTTGATGCCCTGCATTCCATTGTGATGACTCATGCCCAGACGTGGTAAACATGGCACACTAACACAGTAATACATTTGCTATAACACAGCCAAAAAACTCAAATAAAACCATTCTAAAAGCCTGTATCACAAAAATGTAAAAAACGCCTAGGGGTATTTGCCCACTGTACCTCCATACCAAATTTCAGGACCTTAGGCCCTAAAATGAAGAAGCTGAATCCATTTAAAAAATGGCAGGAGAAGGAGGAGAAGGAGGAGAAGAAACATCAGAAAAAGCAATATGGGTTCACCACCACTTCGTGGTGTGGTGAACCCATAACAAATGTACAGAACAGATCACACTGAAGTACACATATAGTCATTTACTAGTAGCTGCCAATTCTCCCTTGGTTACAGGTTAGGCAGCAGGGAGAAGGTTAAACAACACAATCCAAACTGACCTTTGTCCTGAACTTGGCGAGCCAGAATCTCCAGCCCGTTGGTTCCCTTACTGGAGGGAAGCGTTCTGGGTCTGGCAGGGGGCGACCAAAGTCATCCAAAATTGGAGCGTCGGCCGTGATGTTCCAGAACCAACCGGCATCCAGCACCAGGTGATCATAACCGTAATACAGCAGCTGGGACCTCTGGGCTGCAGCAATCTGAAAAGGATATAGAAACCAGTACATAGTATAGTCACCTTTGTTTTCCACTAAAACAGTTCATATGCTACTATCTCTATGTGAATGTGACCAGGATCAGAAGCGATCTGGATACAGTTCGATACGATACCGTAAAAAAATCCTAGTGGGAAAAGGACCCTAAACACCTGAACACACCTGTTACCCACCTCAACATACCTGTACCCCGACATCACTTTAACCCTGACCTGGACCTATATTATTACTCTTGCACACCTGCTGCTGAACACCTGTTAAACACCTGAACACACCTGTTACCCACCTCAACACATCTGCACCCCAACATCACCTGAACCCTGATCTGAACCAATATTATTACTCAAGCACACCTGCTGCTGAACACCTGCTGCTGAACACCTGTTAAATAACACCTGAACACACCTGCACCTCAGCATCACCTGAACCCTGACCTGAGCCATATACCCTTTTCCCACAAGGAAGAATTGTCCGGATCAGGCTGGGCCATAGTTGGAAAAGGACCTTACTATAGCACACATCAGCTGCTAAACACACCTGTTATCACCTGCACCTCGCCTGAACCACCTGTTATTGGTGCAGCTGGACTTTTGCATTACAAACAGCTGGTGTGCAGTCCGTACCTGGAGCACTGCTGTTTCGTTCATCATCAGACTGTACCCATCCATGTTGTCATAGCTGTTCCAGCCCCGTGGTGGCCGCCCACAGGTGCAGAGACAGGTCGTCATCAGGAACACTACGGCAAGCCCCAACGTCTGGCGTGCACCTCCCATTGTCGACTGTGGTTTCCCGAGAGTTAGCATTTGGGGAAATGAAAAGAGGAAAAACAGTGGTCAATGAAGAAATGTGAAAACAACAATACAGATTTTAACAATAGTTCAGCACTACTACACAACAATGAGACATTGCACCGAGAACTACTAGTAATTTACAGGATCAGTCACGTTAGTAAGATCTAAGGAATTATACAGCAGGTATCAGGAACTATATTTTAAACTAACAGTGAATGTTACTATACAGTATATTGACAAGCATCATACATTTTGCTGGCCTGGCACCAAACAGAAACGGAAAAAGAACCACAACTGGAGTAATGGATACCTTTCTTATTTTCTAGAGAACGTTAGTGATTTACAGCTGGCATAATGTAAACATGATTACACAGAAAAACAAATATTCCTCAATCATGTGACGGGAACGTGGTCTCTTCGCCGGACCGACGCACTTTGACCCAGTCTCCAGAACTGCCGTTTTGCGGTAACCTTGTCATTTGCCGACCAACGCGGCAACAACCACAGTTAGGCGGCACCAGTTCAACAAAATAAAATAGTTAAATTCTTGTATCTTTTCCTCAAATAGTTACTGTGTAAGAGATTGTTTTTGGAATGACTGGGTAAACTGGTTCGATTTTACGTCAAGCCGTAGTTCGTCCGTGTTGTTGTCAAACATCAGCTGATGGGGAAGTATGGCAGGTGGGGCTGAGGAAGAGGAGTCTTTGCTGGCCAGTTATTCCGCCCCGTCAGACAGACCACAGGTAAAGCCGGTTGTGTGTGCTTTAAGAATGTGTGGGAAGGGACGGGATGCTTTATGATGCCCTTTAATATTGACGTCTGAACGCCTGTCCCGCGAATTTTGTAACTTATTAGCTGGGGCGACTGGTAACTTCCACCACCTTCCTCCACCAGGCATTCCTAGAATTCGGTAAAAAAGGGAAATAGTTGGCCAGGAGAGTTAGTCCGCGAGACGCTTAATTTCCCCCTGTAAGTGCGCGGGCAAATGAACTCTGCGCTGGCTAAACTCCCCTAGTCAATAAATATTTAGCCTATGGCTATTGACAGGACGGTCCTGTCAATAATAGAAAGTATTGCATTGCTGACAGGACCATCCTGTCCATAGCCTCAGCAATGACAAAGAGGAAGTGGCTTTATTCCATCATGATGATCAGACGACTTGGATATTACGAGATAGATTATGTATCAATATCAGAAAGATCTTCGTATACAAAGTTTAGATGCCATTTTCCTCTCCTTATAGGCTAATGGAACGTTTGGCCACCCCCAGAGACGGACCCCGCCCAGGAAACCCTTGTCTCTTGTCAGCAAGGTGTGTTTTGCCCTGGGAGGGATGCCGTACCAGATGACCAACAATATCATTGGCTTCTTCATCTCCATCTTTCTTCTGGAGGTTGCACAGGTAATGTATGGCTTTTCGAGATCGGGACTTTGTGATCTAGTTTGCACTTGTAATGATTGATGTCATCTAACAGGTGGTTTTTATACCACCTTAAGTTTAGACACCACAGACCTTAGAAGTTAGATACATGTAGCTCCTTTTCTTCCGGTAGATTCGACCTGGATATGCATCAGTCATCTTATTTGGAGGCCGTGCTTGGGACGCCATAACTGACCCTCTGGTGGGATTCCTGGTCAGTAAGACCAACACAAGATGGGGCAAGCTGAGACCATGGTAGGCCAGGATTTATTGTCTAAGTGACTGAAATAAGTAAAATGTAGATAGGACATAGTTTTTTTTTAAAGTTGATGGCTTAGTAATACCGCATTTTATACTTATGACTATCTTTGCTTCGTATTGGAAGATACCAGATATATCAGGCTCTGCTAAGGGAACAGTGAAGTAAAAGAATGTTTTGTACATACAGGTGAGTTTTTTGAAGTGACAAATTCTTTAACTCTGTCCCTACACAGGATTATTTTCTCAGCTCCATTTGGAGTGGCGTCTTACTTCTTTCTGTGGTACGTGCCAACAGACTTTAGTGAAGAGGCAAGGCTGGGATGGTACTTCCTCATGTACTGTCTATTTGAAGCAGCACTCAGTGTAAGTCACTCACTTTCTTCAACTTTGGATGTAATGCTACATGTGTAGCTGGATAGATGGATGGACACACACACACACACACACACACACACACACACACACACACAAATACACACATGCATATAAAGTATGTGTCACAGATTTATTGTCAGTAAATGCCATTTATCTTCTTAGTTCTGAAGTTTTCTTCACACTGACAGTCTCCCTGTTGTCTTCAGTGCTTCCATGTGCCTTACACCGCCCTGACCATTTACCTCAGTGCTGACCCCAAAGAGCGGGACTCTGCTACAGCATACAGTAAGTACATGCACAAGTCATGAGCCAGTGAGAAATCAAAGGGGTTTATTATAGATAATGAGCAAAATATAAGAAGTAGCTCTTTTACAGCATTGATTAAATTGCAAAATACAGGTACGTATTTCGAAACTGCAGTTGTTGAACCATAAATTTTCTAGGAAGCAGGCATTTTCACAAGTACGTCTAGACACAAGCGTCTTGCACTCGTTTCTTTGGTAATATAAGAATTCATAATTTTCCGATGCATGCAGAACATCCAGTGATATGATGGGTGTGTACATGTAGCATTAAGTCCTTGATTTGCTGTAGGAAAAAGTTAGCATATCCCTTTAATAATTGTATTGATTCACTGCTACATACTGTAAGTTCTGTGCTTACTTGTCCAGGAATGTTCTGTGAGGTTCTTGGGGTGTTACTCGGCAGTGCTATCCAGGGACAGATCGTTGCTGGTATTGGCGGGTCCACAGAAACAGACTGTGACAACCCTGGAGCCACTGTTAGTCCTGTGATCAGGGCAAATATGGTTGGTTTCTACTCGCTGATATCATTTTACTAGATTTGTAAATGATTGTAAAGTTGTTTCTTCTTTCTTTAACCTTTTTTTTTACCCCACTCTTATGCATTTTATTGCTTTTGAAGCACATGTTTGACAAGTTGATATCTTATTATAAGTACAAGATTAAAGTTAGAGTTAATCACCTGAGTAACCTCATACACTAATCCTTTGTTATCCTCTCACTACTTATCTGTTGTAGGAAAGAGCCTATCTTGTTGGTGCCGGTGTGATGTGTGGATTCTACCTCTTCTGTGCTGCAACTGTGTTTTTTGGAGTGACAGAAAGGAAAGGTGAGGAAAGCAATTTTGATTGTCATGTGAACATCTTGTTTCAGCTCCAATAAAGAGTCTCTGACAGGGGCCAATAGTACCTAGTGAGAGATTGTGCAACACAGGCTACTGAAATGACGTCATCTGGCTTTACAAGTTACAGTTCTCACAAATGTGCATCTTGCGCCACCCCTGTGTTGGGTTGGTTCAGTCCGCGCATGCGGACGTGTCCACGGGAGTGAGTCCGCCATCTTGTTGGCGTTGTATAAAGTACATGTACCTGCATTTCATTCCCCTCAGATGTAGAAGGAGGCAGTGAAGAAGAGGAGGCATCATTTTTCCAGGGACTGAAGCTGGTCTTCAAACACGGTCCATATGTCAAACTCACCATGAGCTTCCTCTTCCTATCACTGGCCATTCAGGTGAGCCTTTTTTAATGAGGATTTGGACTGTTCAGTGATCTTTCGTCACACTGGTCTCAGGGCTATGAATAACAATAAATCAGATTTCATAGTTCTTACAAATAATGACATTTGGCAAACAAAAGTACTGAAATGCGTGTTGTTATTATATTGGCATACATGTGTACATGCTTTTCTACATCTACTAGTGTATATACGATGGCTTTGTGGATCAGTACTAGTAACCATACTAACCATTGTACTACATGTACTTCTCACCCAGTCTGTACAGGGTAACTTTGCCTTGTTCTGTCAGCATTCCCTGGGCCTGGGAGATCAGTTCCAGAACCTCATCCTTGCCTTATTGGTCAGTAACCAGGACTTGAATTGCAAAATGATTCTGTCCAGTCTTCTTGTTGTTATGATTTTAAGTTATTAGTAGTTAAGAGACTTATGAATGGAACTTGTTATTGTTATGAGCTCCTGTTCTACTTCTTCTTCTACTTCTCAAATGTATTCTATACATATTTCTGATGTGCTTGACAGTTTTCCCATCATGCCCTACTCTGCTGGGCACATCCAAGGTATTTCTGTCCTTTCATAATTATTATTTTTTTAAATCATTATTTTGTAGAAATGCAAGGTTGGATATCTGCTATTCTGGTTTGGTATCTTGAAACCCACAGAAAATTTTATTTATGGGATGATATGATACCTTGTCTTTGCCAACCTGTTAAGTAATGTATTGCATGCAATATTCCTTGACAGATCAAACTGATCTTGTCAGTTTGTCAGTATATAGCATGTATCTACATGTTGCATGATTGTACAGTTACTCTTTTCCTGTTGCTCATAGTCATTATGTTGATCTGGCTTAGGGAGCAGCAATTCTGTGCATGCCAGTCTGGCAGTGGTGTCTTGTCAAGTATGGGAAGAAAACAGCTCTCTTCTGGGGAACTGCAGTAGGTCAACTCTGTCTAAAACCTTATCATAGACCCACTAAGTTACAGTCAATGGCATTGTAGTTTGGTCCTGTTTTACAGAATAGTACAATTTGATTTTTTTTAATCCAGAAAATGTTGGTGGCTTTGATTTCATTTGGCATTCTGTAATGTTAGTGACATTGATCTTGTTATAATGAAACAAACTTGTTTGGTACTTTTGTTCCAGGTATTTATCCCCACCCTGTTCACTCTGTTGTACCTCCCGGGGAACCTTTATGCCGTCTACCCCATCACCATACTGGGAGGAGTGGGAATCTCTGTTGCCTTCCTGTTGCCATGGTGAGTCATGGATAAAACAACTGCCCTACAACAGTCAAACACCAGTCATTTTTTCATGTACCTTGTTCTTTTCATGTTTTGTATCAGCTACCGGGACCTTTTTCTTTGAGACTTAGAGTGGTCAGAGACATTATGAGATTAGTGATTTCAAGCAAAGAGACCAGAACCTTCTGGGTGTTGGTTGAATGCTAAAATTTGAGCCCTTGGTTGTTGACAAATTTGTTCCCTTACTGGTGATGCACTGTATCTCTAGGTCCATGTTACCTGATGTTGTGGATGACTTCACACTGAAGACAGGCACGAGGAGGGAGGCCATCTTCTACTCCTTTTATGTCTTTTTCACCAAATTTGCTGCTGGCATTTCTTTAGGACTATCCACACTCACTCTGGAGTAAGTAGAACTTTCACAAGTCGTACAAAGATATGACAACCATTTTTTTGGACAGTGACATAAAACTTTATATTATATCATCATTACATCCTAAAATGGGATTTGCACAGCTTGTTTTTGTACATTATACAATACAGATATCTTTGTATCAGTATCCTTGCATTTTGCATTTGAGTAAATGTAGAACAATTCCACTCTCCCAGAGCTGCTGGTTATGTCACCGGGGCCTGCTCCCAGTCTGCCATAGTCGGCTTCACCCTGAGGATGTTGGTGGCTCCTGCTCCTATTGTCTTCATCCTCATCTCCCTCCTCTTCCTGTGGAGTTATCCCATCACTGAGGAGAGGAGGAGGCTCACCAAGGCAGCTTTGGAACACAAACGGTTAGTCTGTCACAGTCAAGCTTAAAGGGAATGGTGGGCTGATGCTTAACTGACAGTCAGACAAGGGATAGCAGCACTTCTTGTGCCGTCGTTATTTCAAAACCATAAGAAAAGCAATATAGGGCCTGTGTAAGTAATGTGGCAACTTTTGTCATTCAATTTATTCCTAAATGGTCACCACATGATATTAAGTGAAAGATAATAATTTTACTGCTGCTCCACACTACTTCATAATTATTGTTAGTGAAATGAACAAGTTGTAATTGATTGTTTACAATTATTTACATGACAGGGACAAGGCGAGAAGAGCGCATGGACAACCTGCTGCCCTGGACTCAAGTCTGGAGGGGTCCACAAGAGTATAGCTCATGACACTGTACTTACACATGTACCATGTATAATCAAAGCTATTATCGCTTTGGATGTTGGCCTATATTTTGGGTGTAAATATTCAAATCTGAAAATGTACACAAATAAATTTTATTCACATTAAGTGCAATAAACAGATACCTGTATCATCGAAAGACATTGATATTCTTTTAAGAGCACTATCAGAAATTACTATTAACGCTATCAAAAACGTATCAATCTTGAATACTTTTATACATGTACAATTTACAGTATCCCGCTTCTTAAAATCTTTAAACAACTTATTGCAAGGCTTAACAAATGTAAAAGTTTGATGGTTCAGCAGTGGAATGATTGTGTGAAAGATGTTCAAATTCTCCAATGCAAGTTTTATTGGTGGTGGCCTGGTTCAGAGGAGGTTATAGGCAATCTTCATTGCAGTGCATGTATAAGCACTAGCATATTTCTTATGTTTTTGACATGCTGCCATTTTACAGATGTCCTAGATTGCAGATAATCTATGGCATTAATTTATGGAGTACATTGTAATTATTCTGTTATTCAAATCATCAGGATCTGATATACTTATTGCAAGAGACTTGCATTAAAAAAAAAACAATTAAAATCTTGGAATATTACTGAAGCAGTTTACTAACAAACTGAATTACATGTACAAGGTTAAGTAGCTACACGTACTAATCCAACAAATCCCAAGCACAATCATGTCTGGTGGATATCATCTTGATTGTAATTTGAAGCCATTTCCCAGTTTAATTAATTCACTAATTGAGACTTACAATTAAGCTATCGACTTGATTATAGCCCTGTCAAAATGAAACTCATGATGGATTCTCCTTCATGTATAGGGCGATGCGTCCATTTAAGAAGAAAAGAGGAACAAAACGCGAAAAGCTGGTATAAAACAAGCTGAAACCATACGTCTCCTTGGGCTTATTGGAGATGGGTTTCTGGCACAGACTCAGTGTACCAGACGCCTGGTAAAAGCGAGAGTATCTGCCCGTAATGACGTCATGAATATTTACACGGGATGACATCCGCCGTTACGTCGTAAATATCCCACAAAACGGGGATGGACCATTATACATCACTGTGTCCGCTGAGTCCTGCTAGTTTCCGATCATCAGTGTACTCAAATGCGCCATAATTGTGTCGATTGCAAAGAAGCACTGTATTTGCACTGTTACAGAATCTTACAGGTTTGAACCGTAAACTACATTGTACATTTAATATCTGCTAAACCCCCTTCTTTCAGTACTGAGTTGTCCCTCATCATCAGGTGTACATCCCGCAGCACCGGTTGCGCCAGGTAAGACACGGTAGCGCACACGAAAGGCTTCGTTTTTTCAAGAGGTGTTATCTTTGCTGCAAAGCGTGAAATCATTGTGAAATTCTACGTCAGAAAACCTGACAGGCACAGGCGTAGGTTGGTTCCCTTAGGTACCAAATTACCCTCCTCCTCTTGAAGACGGCTACCGCCAGGCGCTCCACCATGCAGCGGGACGTGCCACCTGTTTCCACCGCGCCCAGCTCCGCCAAGCAGCATGCCCCCACCGGCTACCCGCACGACAGCAAGCCGCCGACGTTCACCTCCGATAAGAAGGCAAAAATGGCCGCCAAGACAAACAAGAAGTGGGTTCGTCTCGCCACGGTTTTCGCCTACGTTTTCTGCGTGTCGCTGGCAGCCATCGTGCTGGCGATCTACTACAGCTTCTTCTGGACCGGCACGACACTACAGGCTGCCGCGGGAGGGGGCACCAGTACCCCCGGCAACATCACAAACACCACCCTGGCGAGTCCGACCGCTGCTCAAACAACTCCAGCCAACACACCAGCCGCCACTCCAGCAGCGTCAACACCGGTAAGGCCAGACATCCCAGAAATCAAATTTGGGTTAATTTTCAGTGCGATGAAATGACAAGTTGATATATGCAAGAATCTTGTAATGAAGAAAATGACGGACCTGCACGGACTTCGCCGGATGCGCTCTTTTGCATATCTAGGTTTTCAGAATTTTGGAAGGTTTCCCTGATCAAATCCAAATTACATACATCGTTTAAATATGACGCCATTACACATTGTGATTCATGTAAAATTTTGTTCAAGTCTCTAAGGGATTAGAAAATGCCTCCTCATAGACAACAGTATTGTGTTGTAATCCAATAGCAAAACGATCAAGATTCTGGCGAGGAGTATGTAATTATTGCATTCCTTATACTTGTAGTGAATTAGTTCTAAACTACTTTCCTCTGCAGTTTGATTGGCACTCTGTCCTTATCCTGCAATGGACCAGGGATTATGGTGAAAGGAAAGAATAATATTGATATAGTGTCTCCTGGCAACCAGACCACTTTCTTTCCATTTAGATCCTGAAAAACAAACAAATGATTTAGGCTGCAGGCAAGAAAGGAGAATTTGCACATTCATTCTGTATAAGATTCTTTATGATTTTTCCCATTGTAAAGAACAGTACGAATATGGATTTTTGTTTTTCCCAAACTGTTAAAATTAACACCATAATAAAAACTGGTCAGACTGGCTCTCATTCAATAGGTAATGTGCCCAATGTAGTCCTTGATTAGACACATAATTGGTCACTTAGCACATTTTCCTGTTTCCATTCATTTCCATCTATGGGTGCAACAGACTTTTTTCTCTCCATAATTACTTCAATCCTTCTTCTAATGTTCTTTATTTGCTCGTGCAATTTTAGCTGGATAGTCTGTATGTAAAGACATCAGATACTTGTTGCATGCGAGTGTGTAATCCTAGCCTGCTGAGCCTTTCATACATAATTAACGTGACACGACTACTGTTTCCAATGAACAGGGCTCGCAAGCAGCCCACAATAAACTTACAGGACAGTAATAAGAGGTTCCGTGTGGGCGGTGTAGATTGGATCTGATGACCTGGCTCAGTCTTACATTTTGTCTTCCCATCACATTTATTCATGGTTCATGGTTGATAGTTGATATTTCTTTTTAAAAAGAATCTTCAATCAAATGTTCTATTGCTGCAATAACATTGCAGATGCAAAACTGTGTGG